AGCCGATGTCGCCCCGTTACGCCGAAGTGACAGCAGTTCCTCTAGACGGAATTTACAGCCGCTTGAAGCTAATTTGTCGTTGGTCTGAGAAAAGTCGAGTCTTTGGGCTCAGGTGGAACACCCGAGTGGATTCAAGGGTGTTTTAGCTTACATTCTTTGAGCCTCAAGGAACAGGGCGAAAGACCAACGTCTTCTGCCGTATCCATTGAAGGCACTAGGTACCTTAGCTACAGTACCTTACTAAGTTAGTAGGTAGACATTCATGTACGCCCAAATTGGTAGCGACGATGGGAGGATGATCTGGGAATCATTGTTGAACTAGCGACACTTGGGTAGTATTTTGGGCGGATAAATTCGAAGGCGATCCGCATCGATCTCTGGAAGCAAGTGTCGTTCGTTGTCTGTATCATAGGTAAATTACAGGCCCATAGTGTCATTCCCATGTGCACATCTGTTTGTAAGATCTTCTCATCCAAAGCATCATATGCCTCTTTGTGCCTCCTGACATGATGAGAGATGCATTCTGACTCCTGTGCTAGCAACTGAATTCTAGTTGTTTTTTTGGTGAGTTGCTAAAAGAATTGACTTTTAGGTTGAGTGGGCTTTTTTTGGTTCCACGTGGTGGAGAAGTTTTCGCTGGAACGGCGGCTTAAAAAGAGCCAAGCCTCTCCAAGTCGAAGCGTGAGGGGAATTCTGGAGTGGTTATTGATTTACCCCAGCAGCTGCCAAAGAAAACTCGACAATTCTGGCAGGGATACTGTCATCCCCATGTCCTATAGGCGTTGTACAAATTCAGAGGGACCTGCCAAGCCTTATTATCGACACGACAGAGCCAGTAGAGGCAGCACATGGTCCCTGCTGGTCTGGAGAATGGAGGAACCAATGCGCTAATGTTTTCTAAGCGAAGCACTATGACGGAACAAACTTGGACTCCATGGCTGAAGAACAATGAAGAAGCCGCAGAAGTTGCGCATCATCAGTCTGGCCAATGCCTACCTACCTATACTGAAATGATATTACATACAGTACATCCCATATGAAATCATCCAAGCCCTAGACCTGCACGATGATGGTTTCAAGACTAAGTTCGACCGAGGGAATGACGAGGGCACGCCACTGTCCATGCGAGCGAAAAACAATCCATATGGCATAAAATGACAGAGACAAGGATGCGTATATCCGTAATGCATGGGTTCTGTCCAGACTCCTTGTCTGGTGCCAACAGACAGGGAAAAGCTGGACCGAGCCAAGTTTCCACAAGCCGCGGAAGCGAAGAGAAGCGAAGCCAAGCTAAGAAGACGACGATGTCCAAGAGAAGGCAGAACGAACATGCCATGGACATAGGTACCTAGATGCTTTCCAACAACAAACGATGATATAAGCTTTCGAGTCGAGGCTAACTGCCCGCTGCTATGTAGTGTAGGTAGGTAGGTAGGTAGGTAGGTAGTCAGGTAGTGTAATAAACTGGGTGTTTGAGCCGCCTCAAAGGCACTTATTCTGTTTAAAGTTCTCGCGTGACCAGTAACCATCACTTGGTCGCTACCGACGCTGAGGTACCTTACATTCCTAATGAGATGTCTTGCATAGGTACCGGTACTGGTAGTAGTGAAAGTGGCATCACTGAGAGAATCATTGACGAATGCCAGGCATGGTCCCAGCGGCCCTACACTGTGCTTGTCTTGGTTATTGCATCTGCTTGTCGTTATTCCGCATGAAACTCTGGACGCTGGTGACGTCTTGATGTACAAGTTGGTAGGTACCAGGTACTAGGTCGGCGCCCTAGGGAATGCGGTGTAGGTGGATATCTAGGTACTACTTTCTATCTCAAACAGCTGTCATTGCCTCAGGTTCTGTCTTATTTAAGGTAGGTAACGTAAGGTAGTTGAGGAAAAAAAGAAGAAGAAGAAGAAGAAAAGGGTGGCTGCGGATGCGAGTGCGGCTAATACCCGTACGGCACAGTACAGACAGGTGTGTCGGAAACTCATTGATTCTGCACAAGGGATCCATTATCATAACCAATTAATTATGAATGACTGGCTATTGGGCCTCGACTCACCCGAGGGGTTACACAACGTACGGCGGCACACTTGACAAGCCGTGTTCATGGACCAGAGATATGTACGTCCGGATAATATGGATTAGAAAAGAAGGGCGTGAAGAGTTTCCCATCCAGGTAACTTGACGAGACATTGTTATGTTCTCACCGGTGCCCTGCCAACTTATAAGTTACGGTACGTAATGGGAGGAACTGCACTCTGTCTGTATTCACCGAGTTGCCATAGCGCCTTGTCTAGAGGAAAGCTTAAGATAGGTCGGCATAATAGCGGTAAGGTTGAGCGGCAGTATCCAAGGTACAGTAGGTATGTATGAATGTTTTATTCGAATTTCACTGGAAAGGAAGTGAACTTTATCAACAAGAAACTCAACTTAGCCGGATGTGTACAGTGAGATGATAAGGTGGCACATTGTGCAAGAATACCGATACCGACAAGATAATCTTAGTACTAACCTATCTATTACTCAAGGTGAGGTGACTGTACAGGAACTTGAGAGATGCGCAAGTTTGAGAGTCTTGCACAATAGTACCCTAGCTATGGCCTGATGCTTGACAGAGTAAACAGAGGTACTTGTTGCAACTCATGCGTAACATGAGGAAAAGAAAAGATTATCATGTGTCTGTAGCCCAAGGAATGACCATTGGAGGAGGTACCCATGCCACCACGTTTCCCAAGTTTCTTCCACCAAACTCAATTTCTGATGTGCCGAAGCCCAAGAGCCGAGACTTCTGTACATGGCCCGACTTTGCAGTTTAACTTGGCCACTAACTTAGCAAGCAAGAATAATAAAGTTCTCCGCGGTAACGACGCTGTACAGTACAGTATGTACTTGCTCTATAGGACGCGTCGTGATTTATCTAATAAGTTAGTACCTAGGTAGTCCATACTCTATACACCTGAAGATTAGACATTCTTTTGATAATGTTCGTTATCGCAGTTGACTGTTTGTTATCTTTACCCCTCAGTGTTTCCTCCAGTGCCCGTAACTTACATACTTCGAGCTACTGGGCCGAGGCATGATGAGCTCAGTTCCCTGCAGATTATTGCCAAAAGGTCCAGATCATAATATCTGCATTCCGTCTTATCAAATATCCGGTTTCCAATTGTTCCGCTACGACGCCGGAACGACACACATCAACGGACCCTTGAGGGTTGAGGGTTGAGGCTTGATCCTTTTGGCCCGTCCCTCCACTCCCCCCTCCTTTCCAGCACCCGCCCGTGAACCCACCCGACCGCCCCATCCGTCAGGTCAACAGGGGCGTCGTCGCTCTGGATCGCTGTAGCACGTAATGTAACCTTGCTGTAGTGTCCACTATAGCACTGTTGCGCCGCAGAGAGATGCAGATTGCTCTTCGTTACGCTACTGGACCCTCCCTACCTCCGCTCTGCTTTGTACGATGGATGGATCATGCCAAGTCCAGGATCTTGTCCGGGTGGGCGTTACCGATGCATGCGAGGCACGAGGTTGAGTGGATGGACTCGACAAGAGTGGTAAGAGGCGGTACAAGGGTGAGTGAAGAAAGAGAGAGAGAGAGAGAGAGAGCGAATGGCTGATTCAAAGATATAAACTTGTAAAGGTTCCCACGCCTCGTCGTCAATTCTTTTTCTGGCTTATTCGCTGAATTATTACCAGAACTTTCCAGATCGCTCACAACAAACAAACAAACAAACAAACAAACAGCGTCAGTTTATCAACTCAACGAATCTCACGAAAGAGGCAGTGGGTTTCTTCTGGCTGACATCAGGCTGCCTGTAATTGTGCTGTGCTGTCTGATAAACCAAAAGAAAGATTTACCAAGAGACCGCGTCTCTCCCCCAGAGACATTTCTGTTTCTTGTTGATTGTGGTGAACCTTTGACATTTTTTGTCTAACTACCTACCTACTATCCAAACTGCTGAGACTTCTTATCTCAATACGAGCGACTACCGTATCCTTGTCAGAGGCTTGAGTTCGAGGCTACTGTCTGTCCATTCGTACACCATCTCTGCCAGCCACAAGCCAGAGACCGGAGAGACTTTTGGTCAACAGGAGCATCTGATAAGGAGCCCGATAGATCCCGACTTCTTTGTCTTTGTCTTTGTCTTCGTCTTCATCTTCGCCCATCCTTTGCAGCTGCTTGCGAGTTCATTTCGAGCAACCGAATCGCCGCAGCGCCAACGCCCACGCCCACGCCCGCAGAAACTGTTCAGTTCAAGGACGGACTAAAACAACCTGGCTCCTGGTTTAGTAGGTTACAGACTAGTCTAGGCCCCACCCAATTGCTCTTTGGGCGTTAAAGATCCATTGCCCGTCCTACCACGACAAGCTTTAATCTTTAAATTGGACCTCTAAGCGGGCTGTGTCTCAAGCCAAGCAGGGTGTGCCGTGCCTACTACTCCGTACATAGGTAGGTAACTCAGAGTCATATTTGGGTACGTCATTTCCTGCTGCTTCCAATTGACATCTTCGTTCCTCAACTCACATCCTCCCTCCCCTGTCTCTCTCACAAGACAGACAAACGAGTTACTCTGTTTCACTTGAGGACCAAATATCGTGACTGTGTTTGGATTGCGCATTTGACTTACACCACTTTCTGCTCTGTAGGTATAAAGATATCAGGATCCACCTCCCTCAATTGAAGTTTTCAGTTCGGCGTTGAGCAGCATCTTCCGCTCGCTTCTCCCGCCGCCAACTCACCTCAATTCGATTCAGTTCGACTTGTGATCCTTTCTCTACGGCTCGCATCCATCTGTACTCAAAGGCCTCGCCTGAACATTAGGAAGAGACAGGTAGCAGGGCGAGCCTGAGAATTGGTGATACCATCATTCGCTCTTTTCTTCCTTTTCTCTTTCTCTTTCTCTTTCTCTTTCTCTTTCTCTTTCTCTTTCTCTTTCTCTCTCTCTCTGTCATTCTAGTTGACGTCCATTCCCTTGATTGCCGAATTTTGTTATAATTGATCAGACATGAAGTTTGGCGACCACCTCGAAAGAGAGTCTGTTCCAGAATGGAGTCTCCGTAGGTTTCGATCCTCTCCCTCGAAACAATTCCGGGATACTGACCAATTGCTTCTTGATGTAGATAACCTCGACTACAATTCCATCAAGCATGAGATTAAGATGCACACGACGCGCGACCAGGCCACGGCTATGGCCATTCCTGGACAAAAAGATGAGGCTCTTTCGCGATTCGAGGATGGCTTATACATGGAGCTCGATCGTCAGCACGAAAGACTGCAGTTGTTTGTTTCAAGCAAAGCAGATGAGATTTCGCGCCGACTAGGTATGTCATTCATTGACTTGTAGTTCTGCGCCACGTCTCGAGTGGCACGCGACCACATGCCAGATCTAACACCTCCTTAGAATACCTCGCCAAGAACATCAATCGTTGGGCATCAAAGAACCAGGAACAACTCGCCGGTGAGTCTGCCATCAAGCACCACAGACGCTTCACCAAGTACGAGCGCGAATTGGTTCGTTGTGGCAGTGACATTCAATCCCTCGAGCGCTTCGTCAAGGCTCAGACTGTCGCCTTTCGCAAGATCACCAAAAAATACAAGGTACGTCATCATGACTGCTTGGTGTGAGTTTTGACATCTGGATCAAGGTACTGATCGATCACTCGCTCACAGAAATGGACTGGCTCTACAACCCTCGGTATTCGTCTCTATGAGAACATTCTCTCCGACCCCAAAAGTTTCACTCGCCGTGACTTTTCCTCCTTGAAACAACGTTATGACGACATCACATGCACACTCAACGCTGCCGCTCCCGCTTTGAGCGAACCTAGCTCACCAGAATCCCCAGCTCAGTCATACCGACGTCAATCTCTTTCGGGATCTCTTAACTCGACAAATCATCACCCCACCAGCCGCGCTCAACCTACGTTCGATTTCTTACCTCCACCGCAGATAGAAGAACCTGCCAAATACTGGAACGAATATGACGATGGGAGTGAATGTGCAGCAGATGATGATGGATATGCTATCTATATAAACCCAGATGAAAGCATTAGTTTCCCGGGACTCGACTACCTGCAGACTGTCCTCAAAGCACCCATGAAGAAGGCAAGGGGTTGGTTCAAGCGCAGCAACGCCCGGGAGCGACAGTCTCTACTTGGTGCCAACCATTCACCTTACCAATACTCCAGCACGACCTTCAACAGCAGCGAGTCGGACGAGGAAGCGGGATATGCTAGCTCAGATGGCTTCCCCGCGACTGGATATGCCACACACTATGCCCTTCCCAGCCTAAATCAACAGCAGGCACATCTGTACCGTGAGAAGACCTTATTTTGGGGCACGATCAGCTCCTTTGCCGTGTCTTTTCTGCTCCTCCTTGTCGCAGGCACACTTATTTCTACCGGTCGACACAGGCTCAGAGCTGAAGTTGACGCGGGCGTTACTGTTGGCGTTGTTGCGAGCTTGTTCACCGCCTGTAGTGCCCTCGGTATGACGTTATACCGGCACGACCGACTATCATTTCCACATCTGCTGGCGGTTTGGACTACCTTCGTCGCATCATGTATCCTCAATGGCATGCTGCTGATTTTGGTTGTGGGAAACTCCCCGTAATGCGTAAAGGACGAAAGGTTATCCTGAGTCCTTCGAACCTTCATGATCTCAAAAAGACTGAGTCACAGCTGAGACGCTTAATGTTTGCAAGTGAGCGATTATTTTGACGGATTGTGTTATTTGTTGAGCGATTTCCAAGTTATAGGAGTGATACTTAGGCATTTTGCTTTCCACGCCGATAGACTGAGAAGCCGGCCGTCTAGTTGGAGGTGTCGTGTACTATGATCGTGCATGTGCCTTGGTATACGCATTTATCTTCGATTGTAAACGAATAGAAATAATTGAAACCTCGCGGTATGCCAAACTGATGAAGCAGTGCCTCGTCTTATGGAGCTGTGACGTAAGAGCTCAAAAAGATGCCAATATTGCCAAAGAGGTCTTGAATTCGTTCAAGTCAATACCCAATATATATTTAGTCGTTTCGGTTAGATGGCATTGTGTGATAAACATGGTGCGTTTGTATAGCTTTCGTCGTGGTCGCCTCATTCATCCATGAAGCTCCATTGTGTCTCGTCAGCGTCCGCTAGAAACAGTTCAACGTTGTTGACAAGTTGTCCTGTATAGAGTCAGATGCGTTTCCACTATATCGTTTTCTGCTCTACGGCTCGATCCTGACAGGGCGCGCCTTGCTAGTAGCTCAAGAACTTACCAGCGACTCCCCATCTCTTAGCAAAAAAGTGCAATGACGCAAAAATGTTGTGAAATCTTGTGTCAGCTTCAGGGATTAGATGCTCGAGGTGGCTCAGGACCATGAGGCAGTGGTATGCCGAGTATGGCGTGACAGGTGAGCAGGGGGCGAGAAGGTGAGGGCGATGGGCGAGTTGATCGTTCAAGTCGGTTGTAGTGTCGGCAATGATACGTATTGTGAAATTAAGACCGGCGATGGCTTTAGGGGCGATGTCATCGGCGGTTGGAGAAAAAGGCCCTGCAGCGGATATGGTGTTGGCGGCGCGAAGCTGGCGACAGTAAAGGAAAAGAAGGAGACTAGGTCATTGTCAGTTCGTTTTCAAGAACTATCTTTGGAAAGAGACAATATTCGGCTGTGCTTCATGTCCCAGGGTCCGTCTTACCATGTACAAGTGGCGAAACACTCGTAGAAATCTCCCCAACGAGAAGTCTGCATGATCATAGCCTCGACAAGAGCACGCGTTGCAATATCTAGTTCGACATACTCCTCTAACAAGGCATTGGGGTTCCCTTGGGGTTTCGGAGAATAGGCTCTTGTGTAGAGCATTGCACATTGACAATTTCTTTGGAATGGCCCCAGAGGTACCGAAGGGGCCACGTTCGCAGGGTGTCGCTGAACAGAACGCGTGGGCGATTGATTCTGATTGTGCCAAATGAGATTGCTTGTTGGCAGTAAATCATCGGCGGCTGGGGACGGCACTTGAAGTGGCATATGGATGAGAGAGCAATCGACATGAATGAGACGATCGAGGACAAAAAGACTCCAATAGACACAGCGACGTTCTTCCTCCTCATAAGGAATATTGGCCTCTCGTTCAGCTTCGATATACTTTCCAGGGCCGATGCGCAGGGCCATGGCCATAGTGTTTGCATCTCCAATACTCACATAGGCACGCATTACATCACCGTGGCCAAACTCAAAGAGTGCCAGCAGGATGGAGCATTGGACAAGTTCAATGCTAGGAGCAGAAAGACCACGTAAGACGCTCAGGACTCGTTTGGCAGCCCTATAAGCTGGCATCTCGATCATGTCCTTACCCTCATTAACGTTGGTGCTCGCGGCAGCAGCTTCATCGTCGTACTGAGAGACGAGCTGCATACAAACGATTAGGAGAGCAACAGCAGGATCGCGGGGTCCTTGATCGGTATTGGAGCTGCCTCCTGACCCTAGGTTGTCGGTACGGATGGCAAAGAGTTCCGGATGGATTACAGAGAACCAGGGATTCATAGTCTCAAAGTAGCGTTCGGTTGCCTCGCGCCAAGGAATGTTGCGCGATGACAGCAACGCCATTACCATTGAGCTGGAAACATCAAAAGCAGGGTCAAATATACCCTGCCCATATGCTTCTTTGGGTGTAGATCCTGCAAGATATCCAGGTTCCACAACAGCGGTTGTTGGGGCCGTGTAGATAAAATCATAGGAGCACGTAGTTGCAAGTCTGGCGAGTTAGTCAAAGGAGATCGGAAAATCGAGTTGCAAGGGCAGTTACACACCTCGTACAGCGAGAGCAAGCAGGCAATGCTTTATCACATTTCTTTTTGGTACGAGTACACTTTTCACAGGCTCTGTGCGCACGTTCAGGCTCCATTGGAGACTCAGAGCCCCGTGAAGATGACACGGAGCGAGACATAATGGTTCTTCTTCTGGGATCCGTGATGGCTGATATGTAGCCCGTAAGATGGGCTTGTACTTTGAGGAGGTAGTGTGGTGGGTGTACGTTAGAAAAACGACTTATGCTGACTACGCTTTTATTATGTCAGACAGCAAGGAGGTAATGGAAGAATTTGAGCTACCTAGACAGAGTGGTTTGATAGGCGTATACCGTGAGCAGGAGCAAGATGTAGATGTAAATGTGATTGTATGTGTACGTGTTGTTGAGCTTGGTGCAAGATTGAGACTGTTGTCTGATACTGATAATGAGACTGATGGCAAGGAAAGAGGGGAGGAGAACCGAGACATTGAGGCCGGGAACGAGGGCTATTTGACGTCGAGTCTCAGTACGAAGAGAACATGATGCCCCCCCGGGCCACAGAGTTGATTAGATGTCGATGGGTCTCTTGATGCTTCCAGGCCTGGGGCCAGAATAGGCCGAGGGGTGGTTGCAGATACGCACTGCAGAGAGACCACAGTAAATGCGCAGCACAGCGGGTGGTAGGTAACTGTACGCTGTACACTATGCCGTGCTGTACATACGGCACTCTGGATGGCGAACCCGGTAGATGGGCGCCGGGTGCCAGGTGCAAGGTCAAGATTGACAGGGACCAAACCAAGGATGACGTCTAATCGGTTAGTCAGCCGCTGCAGGGGGGCAATGGTGATGGAACCCAAGGCTGTGAGAAGAAGGCTGAAGATGTTGATTTGAAAGGATAAGGTAAATATTGGAAATTGGACAAAAAGGCAATGGGGCCTAACTAAAGAAGAAAGCAGACAGCGGAAAGAGCGGGGGCACAAGGGCCTGCCAGCTCAGGGATGATTTCAAATAAGGTGTAATGTCGCAAGTAACCTGAAAAGGGAAAGACACAGGAGCCAAAATCCACGAAGCAAGCAGGAACATGGACAGCACATGCCTAATCAACGGAGAGTTTGAACTAGGTACCTACTTACCTACTTAGGTATTAACATTGGTACTTAAATCCCTTACTTAGGTACCTAAGGTAGTACTAAGGTAAGGTAGTACAAGATATTGATCATGGAACTTCAACTACAGCCCTAACGACCTAACGACCTAATTCCTAAACCCAGACAACAACTGCAGAGATGGCTTCCTCAAGAGGCATGATTAACCCTCAAAACCCACTAGTGGAGAGAGATGCGGGGCCTAGATTGATTGACTAGAGACCTAATCAGTAAGTACATGCTGCGCTGCTTGAAGTCTGAGAGGAATTAGGTACCCCTAAGATCGAATCCGTCCATCCATCAATCACATCTCATGTGTCCGAAATGCCGGGTCACGCTGCAAATCCCCCCATCCCGATTCCCCGGAGAGACCGTTACCTCTCAGCCCAGTGAGGCCCATGGTCATGTCATGCCCATGGTGGATGCATCCCCCATCTACAGCGATGTCATTTGCAGGTTAGCGCGCCCGGACGTTACGTGCCACCCAAACAGCCAAGCTTACCTTACGCTTAGAATTAGGTGTAGTAGTTTGAGGGGACGGACCCTCCGCTACGGTAGTTGGAGTTGCGGCTTGGTCTGAATTAATCATGCCCATCTACAAGTTTGATGACAATGTTGAATGATTTCCCGAAGCAATCAGTCCCTCAGATCTCGATCATACATGGATCGAATCTATATCAAATCACTTATAAAGCATCTTCAAACTGAACTCTTCAAGTTCATTCTAGCATCAGCTTCGACTGTTCGCGATAGGTACTCTAATGCGTATGACATCACCGCCTCGCTGGCCCCTCGGGCACCTGGGTAGGTAGGTAGCATTGATAAAGATAAGATGCCACCATGCGACCTTTTTCTTTTTCGTACAGACAACACGAGAACCCATCATATTCTAATAAAAGAAACACTGGGATCAGATGATTTTTTGTTTACTAATCGCAAGCTAATACCTTTACATTCAAACATCAACTACCTACCGACCTACCTAATGCACCAACAATGACCTCCTTCAAAACCCTGAATATTGACCCATCCCCACTTGACTGTTGCGATCCATGTCCAAGGACAGTGGAATTAACATGCTTCAACTACCTGAGACAGGAAAGAGACCTATCGAGATTGCGAATCAACTGACTCTGCCACGATGGATACGAGATGTCACTACCAGCACCTAGGGCTGCGGACTAAGGTATCTACTTCCTTCGCGCTCTTCCATTGATGCTGGTATAGCCTTGTCTTATCGTTCCATCTTCAGCAAGTAGTTGCTAAATTAAGCTCACGAAACTCTAGTGCATGTCTGCTAAAGTAGCCGTTGAATATTTCCCGCAACACCAGCAGGTTTTTCTTTTATAAAAATAAAAAAAAGCCGCGATATCAGCAGATGTAAGCTGAATTGAGAGCATGCCATATACACTCCCTAATAGGCGGTTAAGCGAGAGGACCCCTGCTCTGTCAGAGCAAAATCCGAGCGTTTTCGGAATTAACATGAACTACTGACTCACCCGGCGTAAATCCCGTTATGGCAGCTTGATAGACTTATACTCGCCTGAGGCCTTGCCTAAATAGCTGCAAATGTCGATTGTTATTTACTTGATGTGCAAACTTTCAGCCTGACCAAAACTAAAGTCCATTGAATGGAGAATATTGTTTGCCAATCACTTGGTGACTAGGTCCATTGATACCTCCAAAGCAACCCCCC